AGTCCATAAAGAGATTTAACCAGTTTAAAAAAAATTTATTCTCATGACCTTGCATTACAACCCTTCGGGTTGTTCCAAATATATTTCATCTAAGTCACCATTTAAGAAAACAGTTTTTACATCCATTTGATGTATGACTAGATGATTGAAAGAGGTTATTTCTAAGAGCAATCTAATGGTAGCAATTCTTATCACAGGTGCATATGTGTCAAAATAATAAATGCATTCTTTTTGTTTAAAACATTTAGCAACTAGTATTGCTTTATATTTATTAATAGAACCATTAGAATGCATTTTGTAAAAAAAAAAATCCTTTACAACAAATGGGTTTAGAACTTGGTGGAAGATCTACTAATTTTCAAGTTTTATTAGCTATTATAGAATCCATTTCATTATTTATAGCTTCTCTCTAAAAAATTGCATCTTGAGATGTCAAAGCTTCATATAGAGATGTAGGATCTTCCTCCACATTTGAGACTATAGGTAAATAATTCAAATTTTTATTTTGATTAATCTCAACAAGATAAATATAAAAATCAAATCCAAAGTTATAAGATGGATCTCCTCTAATTCTCTTTTTTCTTCTTGGTTCTATTATTTCATCATCATTATTTTGTACATTTCATGATTATTTTCATTTTGCATGCTACTTAATTCATTAACTTCACTTTTGCAGGTGAGATTTTCAAAAAATTCAGCATCTCTAGATTCCAAAATTGTGTTAGAATTTAGATCCAAAAATCTATAAGCTTCACTATTATGAGTAATATTCCACGAAAACAAATTTAGAGGTTCTAGGATCCAATTTATTTCTTTTAGGATATGGAAGTCTAACATATGCAAGACAACCCCAAACTTTGAAAAAATTCAAAGAAGGTTTTCTATCAAACCAAAGCTCAAAAGGGGGTTTTATCACACTTTTTATATGGAATTCTATTCAAAATAAAGCATACAGATAATAAAGCTTTACCCTACAAATTTAACGGTAAAAAAGAAGAATTGCATTTCTTTCCGTTGGTCCATTTTGTTGAGGGGTGTGCGGAGTAGTTACTTGATGAATAATGCCATTATATTCATAAAATTCATTAAAGCCATTTGATAAATATTCTTCTCCTCTATCACTTCTAATAAATTTGATTTTCTTATTAAGTTGATTTTCAACTTCTACTTTGAAATTTTTTAATTTTCAAAAGCCTCATCTTTATATCTAAGCAAATAAACATAAAAAATCCTAGAAAAATCATCAATAAAAGTAATAAATTATCTTTTACTACTTCTAGTTAGAACATCACATACATCACTATGTATAAGTCCTAGCAATTCACTTTGTCTTTCAATTGAAGGAAATGATTTTCTAGTTATTTTAGTTTGTACACATACTTCACATTTTTCTTTAGTTAATTCATCACAATTAGAAATCAATCATAATTTAACCAATGTAACAATATACACATAGAGCTCTTGATTTCATTAACATGATCAAACTTTAATCATCCCCATCATATGAGTATCATTTGCCATCAAATACGCCATTTTTGTAGGCATTAGACTTTTGGTCCTAATAATTTTCATTATGGACCTTAGAAAAGAAATGCTTCTTGTTATAAAGAGCACTTGCTATTTGCTCTACAAGGTTTGCCTTAGAGTGAAAATTAATTGGTTCATCTTTCTTTTCACACTGTCTATTATCTTCCTCAATTCGAAGAGATAATTGAAGTTGAACCAAATCAAGATCAACTTTCTTGTGTTTCATCTTCGTTTGATACTCTTTCTAAGATGGGGGTAACTTATGAATTATATATCCTACTAGGAAATATTCATCCAAAGAAATACCGCAGTCTAATTGAATTGGCCTAATTAAAGTCTAGAAAAATAGAGATAATAAATCTTTTGTTACTGGACTATTGCATTGCAATATCTTGAAATTCGGCCCGTTGAAGCATTCGAGTCGAGTAAAATCATAATTCATGACCTTCAAAGAAATCATGACAATCTTTTTTCTTTCACCTGTAAAATATCGTCTTGAATTGTTGGAGATTGGTTGGGTGAATTGGAGGCAGAAAATGGTATAATTTCAAAAATAGGATCTCGAACTCTTCTAATTTTTGGGCACGCAAGAGCGCTATCTCAAGACGATATTTTTCCATCTTCGATAGAGTATTTGATGTGCATAAGAAGGGCAATTCGTCCTAGGGATATAGGAAAATAGAAAGATCTTTTACAATGTTTTTAAGCTCTATGCACTCGAGCTTGGAAACCACATATGAGACACCAGAGTCTTTATAGTTTAGAGAGAGAAAGAGACAAAATTGAGTAGAGAGAGAATTTAGCCCACTTATTTGCATGCTGGAATTGCAGAGAATGATCTATTTAGAAATATGCAAAGGTTGTAAAAAATAGTCCCTTTGTATGGACCCATTAATATAGAGTCACAAGGTGACTGCATATTTATTGTAGTTGTGGTTACATGCACCACCAATAGCCATTAACTCACTTGATGACTGCTTTTACAGCCTTTTTTTGCCTCAATTTCATTAACGGCTATAAGACTGTCGGGTGACCCACATGCATTAACAGCTAGATGGACATTGGATCCCCTTATGAGCCGAGTTTACAAAAGGATAATGAGCCACGAGTCCGACCCACACAGGTGCTTGAGTGAGCAGCGCCCCATGTAAAGTGCAAAGTGCCACACACATGCATATGCACCTGTGCTACGTACACTCCGTGTGCTCCACACTTGTAGTTGTTGGTGGTGCATTTAACTACCACTACAATAAATATGCAACCCCTTAACTCACTTGATGGTTGCTGCATCCTTTTGCCTCCATTTCATCAATGGCTATAAGACTGTTGGGTGACCCACATGCATCAACGACTTTTGCCTCCATTTCATCAACGGCTATAAGATTGTTGGGTGACCCACATGCATCAACGACTAGATGATCGTTGGATCCCCCTATGAGCTAGGCTCACAAAAGGATAACGAGCCATGAGCCCGACCCTCAAATGTGCTCGGGCGAGGGGCACCTCATGCGAAGTGCTCTTTGCAAAGTGCTCCATCAAGCGCCCACATATACACACGCACACGCATGCGTGCTCCACACATGTGTCTTCTCTCTCTTTTGTTCTTAGAATATATTACATGGGAATGTGTGCTCTTAAACACACCTCAATAAACTCTCTCCTCTTCAATGTGGGACTCAAACCCACATCTTCCTCTCTCTACAAAGGCATTTTAGGAAGTACAATAAAACTTAAGTGTTGTTTTAAAATACACTTAAGCATTTTTCAAACAAAAAATACTAATATGTTTTAAAACCAGAATCGTCTAGGTGGATTGGCCCTTCATTGCACCATCTTGATGGGCCAAATCAGGCAATCCAGATCAATGATCCGACAAATTAAAAAATAAAAAACCAACAAAACAAAAAACTAAAAAAATGAAAGTTAAGAACAGAAAATATTGCATAGAGCCATCTAAATAAAAATAAAATAGATTTAAATCTGATTAAAAACTAGGCTCAAAAGGGAAAAGACCCCAAAATTCATACATTTCAATTATTTGAGTCAGACTCTCAATACAAAAGTCCTTCGTATGGATATGAGCGCTTCCAATCCAGATGGGTTATTCCCTGATCTGGATGAACATTTTTTGAAACATTGCATCTAAAGAATGCTAATTTCAAGCAAACATTGAGATGTGGTTTGCCATAACTGGAAGATCAGGGAAAGAGTTTATTGTCCTACTCTTTGTAAGTTTGTAATGTACTGATTTTTTTTCTTTTTAAAAAGAACTCGGGTATTTATAGATCCCTATTATAAGTGGACGAAGAGCAAAGGATTCCAATTCTATATTGTAGCGCCTGGTATTCGGACATTGGCTCAAGGCCAAAAATAATTTAGGATTAGAATTTAGAGTGATTTATATAGAGACCCTAAAAATTTTCCTAAAATATGAAATGCTTTATTTAAAGGTGAAAATTACGAAGAAAGTTGATCAACTCACCTTTTTTTTTTCGAAAATTGCCACCGGTCTGAGGACATCCTCGGTCTAAATTTTAATTTTATTTTTTTAGTTTTTTTTGTTAGTAGGGCACTGTCCTAAAGCTTTGGGCACTGCCATACTAACCAAAAAACTAAAAAGGTAAAATCAAATATAATTTGGACCAAGTATTCCATCGTCAGACTGAGGGGCAAGTTTGGAAAAAAAAAGGCTGGTTCACCGATCTTCTTTGTAATTTCCATCTATAAATGGAGCATTATGTATTTTAGAAGAAAAAATTGGGAAACTTTCGTATAGAATCATAATTCTTCATATTATTTCATGGTAGACTCTCTTTCTTTTTTTCTTTCAAGCGGTATAAAGAAACCCCTACCAAGGATTTCACTGTACCCCCTCATCTCTTATCTCTTTTTTTTTTTATAGACTTTTGACTATAAAAATTAGTCCCAACAAATCTTTTTATATCATTTCAAACCAAAAACTTTTTTAACCCTCTTTTCCCCTTTCCACCCATTAAAATTTTTTTTGAGTTGAAATGGTATAAAAAGATTTATTGGGGTTAATTTTTATGATAAAAAATCAATAAAAAAACGGAAGGGGAGTCTACCATGAAATAATGAGGAATTAGGGTTCTATCCTAAATTTTTCCAAAAAAATTTAGGGTCCGAACGTAAATCACTCTATAATTTTTATGAAGTTCAGACTAGGTTGAGAAATAAATCTCCTATTTTGAGTAAGTCATGAGTTCTTGGTGTTTCTATTTTTATCCACTAGAAGGTTTCTTAGTGTTTCACAAATAATTTGGTTCCTATGTGAATTAGACATCAAGTTTGGCTACTTTAGAGTTGTTAGTATTACAAAAGAAGTGCATATAGCTTTTGACTACTGCTATTTTATGCTTTGTGTTGATTTCAAGGAGAATGTGTTTGTAGGCTTCTCTCCACAGTTTTTGTTTATCAGGCTTATTCTTTTTTATTTTCCTAACAATTCTTGCTCCATAAAATGGCTGCTCCCATAATATGCAATTCAACTTAATTACATTTCTGCAAAAAAAAAATGAAACATACCTCTAAATACTTAAATTAAGAACATAAAGGTCATCTCACATTCCTAAAGACTCTCCCTCTCTCTCATATACACTTTACATAACCACCACCACCACAACTACACATGAACTAAACAAACATTGCCCTTAATAAACAGTCTCAATCAACTTATATGATCTCTATTGACCACTGGTGAAGCTGAAGCACTCTTCGAAGAACCGAAAGGCATCGATTGCGAGAGAAAAGTGAGCCCACCCGCTTGTGAGCCCGAGCCGGAGCCTGAGCCCGAGGGCTGGCTCATAAAGCTCGAGCCGCATGCACCAACGGTTCCGGACCCATGGTACGGTATGGCTTGTATCGGTCCCTCTACCCCCGCCTTCTGCGAAAACGATAGTATGTCGCCGCCACCTTGAGGAGGCCCATGTCCACCACTCACTATTGATGTGATAGCGGCTGCCAAGGCGGACCTAAAGTTTGGATCGGACGTAATCGCCTTGGTCGCAGCCGCTATCGAGTCAGTGAGAGGCAAGGAGGATGACGTCGAGGGGACCGAACTGGGTTTTTGTAAAAGTGAAGGGTAGAAGTGGTCTTGTGGCGTCCTCACGAAGGTTGATGGCACCATATGGTGGCCCTTGTTATAGAATTGGGATTGTGAGGCACTATTGAAGTAAGAGCTATTTGGCCATGGATTTGGGGTCATTATGTTGCTTTGCTCTGATGAGAAGTTTAGGGTAGAGAAAGAATTTGTGGGGTACCTTTGATTTTGGTGCAAGTTAGAGGGAGGAGAGAAAAAGTGCCTAGAGGGAGGTTGAGTTAGGTCTAGAGTGATAGTGGGGTAAGAAGGGGTGGAAGAGATAGTTGGGGTTGGGAAGAAGAAGGGTTTGTTAGGGTTAGCTCTTGAGCTAGGGTCAGTGAGGTTGAAAGCTAGGCTTTGGAGGGCAGCTGAGGAGGAGGGGCGCGTGGCCAAGGGGCCGGAGTTGAGCATGGAGGCGGCGGCAGAGGTGGTGGAGGCCATGGCGGTGGCAGAGATGGGGAGAGGGTGGTTGTGTGTTCCTTCGTAGGTGGTGATGAGGATGGACATGTCTTCCGCGTACCTTTGGACCTGAAAATTATGAGAGAGGTAGAAGATTAGTGATAGGTTCATGGTTTCATGTGCTTCTTCAGGTTTTCGATCAACTTGAGGTTTTTTATATCTTTGGACTGCATTTTAATTTTTCTTTTTTGAGATTTTTTTATAATAGGGTTGTGCCCTAATGTTTGGGGCAGTGCCCAGTCAGTCCAGTGTTGTATCGCCTTCTATGGTGCTCTCCAAAGCTGTCCAAGATTGGCATCCTCGGACTACATTAGCTCATTTCTTTGCTGAGAAATAAGGAGGTCCGAGGATGCAAACCTCATGCTGCCGGACTGTGTATTGCGCCTCGCACTAGGGCACTATGCTACTAGCGAAAAAGATAAAAATAAAAGTAAAAATTAAAAAGCGGTCCGAGTACCAAAGAGCAAGTTTTTTAAAAATAAAAACATGGCTTGAGTGATTTTCTGCATAATTTTCGTATCCGTACGTAAATTGCCCAATTGTGGGGAGTGGAGGGTGTGGGGAGTGGAGGGAGGGAGGGAGAGGAAGAATTATCACGTGTTAGAGAGAGAGGTGCTGAGATGCATGGGCATTGTAAATTTTGTAAAAAACACTTTTGTAAACTTAAAATTAAACTAACATATATGAAAATGGATTAAAGTGAAAATTAAAAAAATTTACCTGTTTTCTTACTGGGCAAGCTGGTGCAACTGTGCATCGATAATAAGCTCGAGGACATGGATTGCCCTTGGCAATCTTCTGTCCATATTTTCTCCATTGACATCCATCATTCATCTGCAAATAAAGAACAGACAAAAAAACAAATAAGTTGTATAAAATAACTCAAATAATCAAATTACCATCCAAATATTTTCTAATACAATTAATAGTGATAAACAAAATATAAAAAATGAAAAAGTTGGTGGCTTGAACATTATATCAAATATGAGATTCATAATAAGGATCGTATATAATGAGACAGTTAATTTTCATGGAAAGAGGTTGCAAGCAGTAAAATTGGATGGCTGGGTGTGTCATTTTTCCAGACTAAGTGATGTTAATTTCTTCAAATTTTAAATGCAACAAACATACACCTCAATGGTCAGATTTCACATCTTCATCCTCCACTGTAACATTTTTATACCAAAAGTAAATAATCTTATTGTATATTTTCCTTCCTAAGATACATACACACGTGAATGCTTACATACAAGAATACAGCCACAAATGCATAAACATGTGTGAATGTGGGATTGTATACAATGAGATCATTTACCTTTGGTACAAAGATGTCACAATAACGTATAGCCATATGATATGAAATCTAGTAGCTTGGATGTGCACAAAGTTCGAGAAAACTTCTATTAAACTTTGAGCTTGGTTAATTGAATAAATGCAACCACCCAATATCGCATTTAATGGTCGAGATTAATTGTGACCATCTTATATCAAAGATAAATGGTGTCATTGTATACTTTTCCTTCGGGAAAATGAATCAATATTTACATAATTACCATACGTACACATAAAAACAAGGGATTTTATACTCGTTGTGTACAATAAAACTAGTCACAATTACGCGTAACTGTCAGATATGAAATTGGGTGATTGCGATGTAACTGCTACACACAAAGTCCAAAAAAATTACGCACACAACCCAACCACCTAATTTTATATTTGATGGCTATAGCTGGATGTGACCTATTTATTACAAAATAAATAATCACGTAGCATGCATTCCCTAAAAATAAAATAAAAAACCCACATGCACATGCATATATGCACTCATGCACATAAAAGAAATGCAAGCAAGCATGCCCATGCACATGCACATAAAAGAAATGCATGCATGCATCCATGCATGCCCACGCCACATGCCACATGCGCCCATGCTCATACATATACAAAGTAACAATGACAGAAGGAAGCAAAATTTGAAATTTAACTAACCGTTGGGGCATCACATCTTGCTCTAACCGAAACCCTAGCTTTCTTCACATGGGCTTGTTGAGAAATCTCATCTTCAGGTCCCCTTGAAGTCTTGAGAAGCGTATTTGGATGCCAAGCTTCAGTGTTGATTTCCTCTTCCTTGGACTCTTCTGAGATATTTTCAGGGCTTTCCCTCTCCGGAATTTCAACTTTTGCTGAAATTTCTATCGGATTTCGGTGCGGTTGATTGAATCGACAGTCTAAGCCTAGACTAAGGCCTTCATCTACTTGTCGATCCTCTTCTTCTTCTTTTCCTTTCTCAAAATTGCTTGTTTTTTCTTCCTTTTTGTGAATTGTGGATGAATTTGTAGTTCCTAGAGAGAGAGAAACCAACTCGGGTTCTTCGGTTTTGTGGTTTGAAACCTCGGATTCAGGCTTTATCATGATTTGTTCTTGGTGAACTATGTCGAAGAAGTGCATTTGCAGTGACTGATAATCCTTAGCGATTTGTGCTAAGATCGTCTTTAATCGCTCATTTTCTTCTCTCACTTCTCCCATCTCGGCTTTCGCAGATATGATCTGGTCCTCCTATAGATCAACAAGGAGAGGAAAGAGATAATGAACTACATTTCTGGAGTTCTTGAATGGAAAAAGAAAAATAAAAATGAAGTATTGATACGGTTCTTTAAACTCATTTGAGTTTCATTGAATTAGTTGAATATTGATCATGCTCGTGAGTCCAAGGCTCTCTCTCTCTCTCTCGTTCATTGAATTCGTCTAATATTGATCATGCTCGTGAATCCATGGTCTCTCTCTCTATCTCTCTCTCTCTCAAGTTTCATTTGAGTTCATGGAATATTGATATGCTCGTGAATCTTGGCCCCTCTCTCTCTCTATAAAGCTGGTGAGTAGTTGTGGTTCTTAGGTAGAGAATGGTTCTCTTTAGGCTTTTGGCCATATATATATATATATATATATATATATATAGAGAGAGAGAGAGAGAGAGTACTTTATGCAAAGGATTTTGATTTTGAAAATTGTGAATAATTTTCTAAATCAAAATTTTCAAGTAATTTTCAAAATCGAAATTTTCAAGCAATTTCCTAAAATTATCAATCTTGATTCCTAATTATAGAAGAATCAGACGAAACTTTATTACTTTTTGGTAGGTGGGGATAATCTTTGTTAATCATTAGTTTACTAATATTTATCTTGAATAACCTATGTTCTCAAAGATCTACTATTAAAAACCTAAATTTTATATGCATGCAACAGATAGAAATGCAAAATATAGAAATTATGTTAAAAACTATTTGTATCCTTGATATTAGGTAGATTGACTTTGGCACTTTGTCCTTAAAGAAAATTTATATTAAAAAAAAAAATCTAAATTTTCATTTGATAAAACCCATTTCATTACTTATTGACTAATGATCCTATGAGACCCTCCCACACCCATGTGTGTAGGACTTCAAAGGATCACCATTAAATTTGGCACAGATTTTTAGAAAAGTTATCACATCGGTGTGATACTTGAATTTTTTAGGGATCTGTGCCAAAGTTAATGGTGATCTTTTGGGGTCCTACACACATAGGTGTGGGAGAGTCTCATAGGATCATTACTCTTTCTTATTATATTTGAGTATTGATCGGAAGAAGATGGCCTAGAGGAACAGTTTTCCATTGATGAGAACGAGAGAGTATTATAATCCAACGTTCAATATCAGATGAACTAGAACATAATTTCACAGAAAACAAATACCCAAGATCTAAAATAAGGATAATAGGTTTTAGATGCAGAAAATCTTTGTTCATGGTTTATGAAAAATAGAGAAATATAGTATATGGGGGAACAAAAAAAAAATTGTGGGTAGCTTGAAAACATACAAATTTATTCATTTGATTAATATCTTGATATGAAAATCTAAAACTTAAACGTGTATAACTCTTCTTCTTTTTTTCAGTAAAAAGCATGTTTTTTTCATTAGTAAAAATATCAGTATATCTGGCTATTTTTATATCACATCTATGTGAGGATATCTAAGAAATATTACCTGGTTGCTTGAATCTGTCTGATTTGGTGACGTTGGCTTCGAATCGCTTCGCCCGATACCCATTTTTTCACTCTTAGATGAGACCTACTCATAATCGAAAGAAGAAATTTCAAAATTTAGAGATAAAAAATAAATAAAAAGGAGAAGATGCACTGAGTTGGAAACATATTAACTGAATTCATAAATGGGAGGAAGGTTGAGCCATTGAAGCATTGTAGTTTTAAATTTTTCTCTCTCTCTTCACAGCAATATTAATAAAATTTCCTTCTCTTTTTTGTTTTCTCTCTTTCTATTTGAGTAAATCAGACAGTACTAAGGAATTCACAAGAAAAGTTTCTTCTAAAAGATAGAAGAAGAATTATCTCACCTTGAAATCTGTAAGATCTCCATCGCCATGAAGCCCCACACCTTTCTCATCCTCAACATCCTCTGTTCCTCTATGAAAGGACCTCTTCAACACATCCATGACCAGGTCCTCTCTCTCTCTCAAAGGTGGAAAAATGAAAGAGAGACTTCAAAAAAAAACCAAAGCTTTTTCTTGCTTTTCAACTTCCAACTCTTCTCCTATCTCCCATATATCCTCCTCTTATAGACCCAGCTCCCATTGCTGACTCTCCCAAAACCAAAATTCAAAGCCTTAGAAAACTATGATAAGACCAATGGCAATAATAATACAACGTCAACCATGAGTTTCTTACTCAACAAAAATAAAAAATAAATGAAGAGAGAGAGAAGACAAAGAAGAGAGAGAGAGAAGAATATAAGAATTCAAAGTCTTATATGACACAGCTGCCCTTGCATATGAGAGAGAGAGAGAGGAGAGAGAGAGAGAAATAGAGAGAGAGAATATAGAATTCAAAGTCTTATATGACACAGTTACCATCGTCTCCATATGCAACCCATGAGCTATTCAAGCCGCACTCTGCGGCCCCCACCACCCCATTGAAATTTTCTTTTAATTGAAATTTTCTTTTAACCATAAATTAAATGGAATAAAAAAGTTCAAAAAAAGAAGTGGAAATTTTTTTTTTTTTTAAACAATCAAAATTAGTAACCCTAAACCCATGGTAATGGATGAATATTATTATTGTGGTATAAGTTTACAAAAATGACCCTAGCTAGTAATTTAGTAGTGCCCTTTGTTTTTGGTTTAGTAGTTTAACAATGGGATTTGAGCCTAAGATGTCATGCTACAATGGTCAACACCCTAACCATCAAGTGGATCTCAAATTTCAAATATGCCCCCTCCCATAGGGGTTAATCATAAGAAAAGGAGAAGTATACTATAATACCTATTTATATTGATATTTGATGAAAACAACTCCTTCAATCATATGATGTTAGGAGAGAGGCGGACGTCCAAAATTTGGTGTCAAAATATTATGTAGAAAAATTTAAAATAAAATAAAATAGAGATGTAACATTGTGATTGAGACCATCTCAACTGTCCATGTAGAATGGATGGTTGGATACAGGAAAGTATATAAGTTCTATACAGTAGGGGAAGTATAGAAAGTTTGCCCGAGACAATTATATGTTGTTCTCATCATATATAATTAGACACAAAACCATTCATAACCAACTTGGCCTAAAAATGGTACTACAGTATACGCCCATACGAAAAAAGTATAGTATACATACTAATGCGTGTATACAATGATAACTGTGTATAATTTATAAGATCATCTACAATGCTCATCTCAACAATAGATGGTGGAGATGGATCATTCATGTACTTGACCTAAAAAACAATAAATAATAATAGAAAAAATATCGTTTGAGAACTGGTACCCATATCCTACCCTTGATGGCCTCTCATAGATGGTGGAGATCAATTGTAAATTTGTAAAAATCTATCATTGTCTACCAAACAGAGCTACAAAACAATCTCAGACCATAATAGGCTATTGCCTGTGGAGATTTATATCCTGTACAAGATCCTTTCACTTGATATTATTATTCCCTTGTTTTTGATAATATGAAATAATGAAAAGCCTCCCACTATTTGTTCATGTTGACGGAAAGTTCTCAAATAATACCATTTATCTTCGATACAAAAAATCACAGTTAACTTGGCCATCAAATGTGAACATGGGCGACTTTAATTATTGACCTCATTCATAGTTCGAAAAGTTTTGCAAAAATAATTTAAGGGGAAATTAATAAATATAAAACCTTTTGATTTTACACTAGACAACTATAGGTATTTGTGACCAGAACTTATATAGCCGATTCCAATTAATTGATAATTAATTGATGATGTACCAAAAACAATGGTTCTCAAGACAATTATTTTCATGCGTGTGGTCAATTTGGTATTTGTTTAAAAGGTATTGGCATTTCCTGTACTTGTACGTTTTTTTACAAGTCGGTGGTCAGATGCCGTTAACCTTACCCCCTTGTTTGCTCTTTCCATCAACCCTTGATATACGTGATCGACGGCTCCAACTTGCCAATCGCTCGTCTAATCGCATGTGCAACTTTGAATCGTATTTCCTAGGGTTTTTGAAGGTGTTGAATTTCGCCGACTGGTCACGGGTTATGACGCTTTCATACCACTGCTCAACCAACTTCTAATTTACCCCTAAATTTTCCACTAATTTCATAAAATACCCTTTTCTTTCTATCTTTTTTTTAAATATTTTTTATACGTAACATTTGGGCATTTTGCATGTTAATTGATTTTATTGAATTTGACTTGCCTCTAAAAGACGTTGAATATGGCTCGAAAATAGGGGCGTTAATGGGCCGGGTTGGGGACCAGCTTGGCGTACTAGATGGACCGAGATTCAACCGGATCTGACTTGACTGACAAGGTCCAAGATGAACCCAAACCTAGGTTGGGTCCTAGTCGTTTGGATCAGGACCTGACCGCCAGGTCTAAATACGGGACCAAACTTAGACTAATGTTGGGTTGGCTTGTTCGATCGCAGGTCGACCCTGCATAATTACCACCTCAACTAAAATTTATGGAATATTAAAAAGTATTTATGGCAATAGTAAGAAAGAAAGAGAAAAAATAAAAGAAGTAAATGAAATAGGAAATTGGAATAATGGTGGATAGGGTATGTTGACCAATGGATAAATTGAATCTTAGACATATAGGGTCGTGGTGTCCAATGAGAGACTATGACATTTCTTTCATCAGCTGCCGTACGTTAGATTGCTTGGACTTTTCTTAGCTCTTGGATTCCCATCTTATGTGGAGAGAGAGAGACAGAGAGGAGGAGAGAGAGAGTCTCCCACCCATATTTTTTAGAGAGAGAGACCCATGCCCATATTTTCTGAGAGAGAGAGGGGAGAGAGAGAGAGAAAGGGGAAGAGAGAGAGTCTCCTACCCATATTTTTTAGAGAGAGAGAGAGAAAGGGGAAGAGAGAGAGTCTCCTACCCATATTTTTTTAGAGAGAGAGAGAGAGTCTCTTGCCAATATTTTTTGAGCTCTTAGAATAATTGCACACTAGTTGCTTACATTATGTTTCTTCTCCATTTTGTTCCTATCTTGGGTGGAAAATAGAAGGGCGCTCTTGTATATAAATAGAAGGGCCACCTTGGCTTGGAGGAATTTTTTCGTCCTTGGTGCTGATGAATTCGTTAAACATGTATAAAATTGTAGGGGCTCCACTTTCACCTTGGTTTATGAAAAAACAATAAATTGAAAGGGTCAATGAGTCTACAAAAAGGAGTTGATAAAAAGAGTAAGATGCATGTGCAAGGCATGCCTTTCAACTATTTTGTCAAACCCACTTTCAAAGGATCCACTTGCCCATCACATTTCAACCAAATTGTCCAATTTGACATGCCAAGTCTCCAATTATAATTTATAAATAAAAAATAATATTAATAATTAAAATAATGCCTCCCTTCTCACTCCTTGTAAACAGCTATAAAAGTCCAAACCAATTATAATATAGAACAATAACAATAGAAGTAATGAGAAGAAGAAGTAAGATTTTCTATGGTAAATAAATTTGTAATGAATCTTAAATATTGATGATAGTAACAATATATTTCTAAAAAATATTGAAGTTAGTGTCAATGATGATCGAGATGGTGATGTTTCTCAAGAGTTGGTGAATTTGAGAGGCTCTAACTTATTTTTATTCTTTTTAGCTAAAAGGGATATTTGGACTTGTGGCCCATTTGTTATATTTTTCTTTTGTTTGATGAAAGGGTTAGTGCTTGTTCTTCAAACGAAAAAATTTATATAAGGTTGCAACTTTAAAATGTGGAATTAAAGATGCACCCAAAAAATACGTCGTAAAAGTTTGTTGTAATGTTAAAAACTTAACTGATTGATCATTTCGACATTGAGATGTATGAATATAGAAAAAAAAAATGTCTCAAAAATAGTGCATCTTGCAACACATTATCAAGACCGTCCATTTTCAAGATTTTTACATGTTATAAATCTTCTTGATTTTAACCATTTTTGGAGTTGAAATTTTATAATTAGATATGAAAATATATTTTTAGATAATCCTAAAAAATTTTACCCCAAAGTTACACTTTATGATAAAATTTGGAGGTATGCCTTAATTGGATTGTTTAAGGTTGCAACCTTATAGAAACTACACCCCTTTTTTACACCAAAATTACATATTATGATAAAATTTGGAGGTGCGCTTTAATTGGATTGTTTAAAGTTGCAACCTTATAGAAACTACACCCCTAAAAACTTACATCCAAATATAATATAAAATTATTATCAATAAAACAAAGTAATACATACTATAAAACTTTTATTTTTAGTACAAGAAGGTCACAATTGGTTTTAGCCATTGATTAGAAATCTGACCGCTAGGATGGTCAAAAAGTCAAAAGAATTTTTTTAAACTCTAAAAAATCGGACTTTTCTGACTGTTTGATTTCACATCTTCCAGTTAAAGTTCATTGTGACATTGCACTAAAAATAAATAATATTATGTCTAGTTTTTAAGGAACTCTCTCCTAAAATCATGGTGATAATTTACAAAAGTTACTTAGAATCAAAACCATCAGATGGGTTGGAACCAAGTTTATTTATCCAAATTTTTATTTTTTATTACTAATAATTCTTGTTAAATTATTAGTACTTGTATCATTGTAGTCGTCATCACAAATGGACATATATATTTGCTCTGGGTTGGACTTTTTAAGTTTTATACGAATTTTAAAAGTACTATTTAAGACTTTGTCTCAAATTAGTCTTAAGGCATCATAAAATACAAATGAAAATAAAATAAAAAAATATATGCCTAAAGGCATCATTTACTAGTACCAACAAACCAAGGATTTTGTTGGAGACTGTTGATACTTTTCAACATGAGTTGATCTTGTTTCATCTAATATTTATAGGAAAATATTTGGATAGGGCTGCAGCCCTATCAAAAAAAATAGCGCTTCACCTCAAAACTTACCTAAAATTACAATTTTGGTGTCGGAAAACCTTCAAGTCGATCATCTTGGCCTTGACCATTACGGTTATGAAAAGAAAAAAAAAAAATCTCAAATGCTAAAAATAGTGTACATTATAATACATTTTCTAGAGTGTCTATTTTCCGCAAAATCTTTAGCATTTTTTTAGCTTCACATTTCATTGTCCGTATTGGAA